ACCAAATATCTTGGAATTATTCTTGACAACAACCTCAAATTTCAAAGTCAAGTCAAAAATGTCTGTAAAAAGGTCAAATCCAACTTAAATTGTTTTTGATTTATCCGGAGGGAACGGTCCCATCAGGCCGCCCTGTTATACATGCCCTGTTATACATGCCCTGTTATACATGCCCTGTTATACATGCCCTGTTATACATGCCCTGTTATACATGCATGCAATGGTTTTGTCACATCTGTCCTACTGCGTCACATCGTGGTCACAAACCTCCCCGACCACACTCAAGCCGGTGGTTTCAGTGTACAAGGAGGCACTCAAGGTGTTTGACAAACACCTATGAGATGGCATCACTGACATCATTCAGAAACATAATCTTTTTACTTTTGAAAATATTATAAATTTTAGTACTTTGAAACTGGTTTTTAAATGCTCGAACAGTCAAGTGTCGCCGCTGTTTTCTGCTCTCATTGTTCGGCGTCATGGCTCCACCAGAGCCGTGGTCAGTGGGGACTGTGTTCTCCCAAAGTTCACCAAATCCTTTGGTCAGTCAAGTTTCTCCTTTAATGGATCCAAACTGTGGAATTCTCTGCCCAGTGATTTAAAACTGCAGACTGACATGAACAGTTTTTATAGAGGTCTAAAACAGTGGCTAAAGTCAGTGTATGAAATGAAATCGACATTGATAATATGTATTACTTACCTTTTTAAATAATGTATTGTGTACTGTATTGCATTGTTTTTTTTTTTTGTATTGTGTTGTGTTTTGTGTAGGGGCTCTCCTAGCCTTTTATGGACAGGTGTTGCAAATTAGCAGTCTTGCTATAACACTAAAAACAATGTATCTGGTCTGTCCAATGCTATTGTTATGTCCATACCAAATAAATACATAAATAAAAATATATAAGTAGTATCACACATATATAAGTAGTATCACACATATATAAGTAGTATCACACATATATTAGTAGTATCACACATATATTAGTAGTATCACACATATATAAGTAGTATCACACATATATTAGTAGTATCACACATATAAGTAGTAGTTTTTGTGAATTAGGACGATACAAAATAAATGTAACTTCCAGGATAAATCTATAGTTTGTAGAATAATGGTCGACTGCTAAACTTCACAGCTTTTCATACACACTATTTATCAGTGAACATTATGTTTGCTTTACTAGAACCAGGCCGCAGTATCTCAAGTGTCACAATGCTTTTAATACATTTTCTAAACCAGGAGTAGAAAAAGGAATAAATAATGGGGTTTAAGCAGGAGTTAAAATAGAAAAGATACAGAACAATAGCTGCATTTGAACCATTGGCTGCAACCTTTTGATCTAAGAGTGTGACAAAATAAAATGGGCACAAACACACCACAAACAGGACAATGACCACCCCCAGAGTCCGAGCAGCTTTTAGTTCAGACTTATTTACATAAACTGCTCTTTGTGACGTTGCTGCTCTGATCTGTGAGCGCATGGCCCGGATTTGAGTCAATATTGCCACAAATACTCTCATATATAAAACAGCAATGGCACTGACTGGGAAGACAAACGAGATAAAAAGATCAATGATTCCAGCGTAGAAGTTTACAGTGGCTACACATTCGCCGGAGCACGTGTTTAAGCTGCCTGTGTTTTTCATAGTATCTTTGAGAACCAGTGCAGTGTAAACCACAGTACACATCCAGGAAAAACATATGGAAAATCTGACTCTGACTTTAGTGACTTTTGTGTGGTAGTGTAAAGGCTGACAAATGGCAATGTAGCGGTCCACAGATATAAGCACTACAGTTCCCATTGATGCGCAAGTGACAACATATGATAAATACTGATACACAACACACACATCGTCACTAAACAACCAACATCCATCAACAAACAGAGTCTGTACAAACATGAGAAGGCCCACGGAAAAGTCTGAAACACCCAGAGAAAGGAGGAGCAGGTTGGTGGGTGTGTGGAGCTGCCTGGAGAGAGGAAAGTCACAGTCATGAAAACTGAACATGTATAAAAGTATAAAAGAGTTCAACACATAAAAGAGAAACAGTTACTTGTAGTGAGAGATTGAAATGATCACAAGCAGGTTGAGAGTTGAAGTCACCGCTGAAATCAAATATAGCACAGTGTAAATCAGCATTGTTGTAGCATAAGAGCGTGGAATCTTTTTACAAGAAGCATTGAACAGATGTGGGAAGCAGAGCTCTTGGCCCTCTGAGGTCTCCATGTTGGCATCTCTGCATGAAGACTGTCCCCTCCTCTGTCTCAGCCTGCTCTAATGTCTCCTCCTGGTTTCTCCTCCCACCCCCAGATCAGGAGGCAGTCCACTTTACCAGATTCATCAGAATAAATGTAGCAGAATTATACATCTTAAACTATATTTTTGGAAATCTCTTTTAGCTGTATTCTTTTAGAAGGTCTAAGGTTTTAGAAACATGTAATTTCCTGACCCCTGATTCATCGTATACCAATATTTTTGGTTGACCTTCCAGTCAGCTGTTATTGTGAGGTACGAGACATTAAGAAAGAAAACTTTGTGTTGTTCATTACTAGTGAACATGGATGACTAGACAGCAGATTATTATAGCAATAATTATCATTAAAAGGCAAAAATTCTACCAGTCAAAACACAGAAAGGGCTTCTGGAAGAACATCTTTAGGAAAGAAAATGAAAACAAATTCAGTGTACTCCAAAAGTGCTAAACATTACTGTTCCGATGTTACAGAGTTAAGTCAGGACGGATCTCCTGTACTCCAACCACCTCTCAGACCTGGGACATGGAAGTGTCCATCTCAGGACCTTCAGCCACTGCCTCCAATGAAGAGGAAGAGGGACTAAAGACAACCTCAAAATATTTATGGCCCTACCGTTAATTCTTAATCGACCTGTGTTAATACTTGTTAATATCTACTGGAAGTTATTTCCAAAGCCCAAAAACATTATTTAGGCCTATATTTAGCCACATTGTCAAAGGAGTCTTAAAAAGCCAAGGAAACGTTATCTGTATAGCTCAATGCTTTTCAAAACAAGAGCGGAAACATTTTAATCATGCGTCAAAATGAATCATAACCATTCTGGGTCAGGGGTTTGAGCAGCGTCTGAGTAGTTATCAGAGTGAATATTAACAGACCTATTTGAACAGAAGAGGTCCCAGGATCGACCCCTGTGGTACTCCACAGGTCAGGGCTATTTATCTGAGACACAGAGTTTGCTTTGGTCTTTGACCATTTTATATTTATATATTTTTATTTTGAAGGTACATGACTGGGAAAAAATGTGAATCAGCAAAAATACACATTTCATGAGTAAATAAAACGTTTCTATTTGGCCTTTTCATATTTAGTGCATAACAATGTGTTTCCTCAATTGTGATAAAAATTCTAAAGAAAGGCAATCGTTAAATTAAAGGCGCAAGTGGCGTTGAACGCCCTCGCCGCACCGCGCAAAGGAGGGGGCGCCGCCGTGCAATGATTTGCTCCCGTAGCTATTAAACAAGGTTTGTAAAATTGTAATGAATATGATCAGTTGGTTTAGATCCCAATGTGAAACTTTGGCTCAGTCTGTAGGGGGCGCTAAAGAGCCAATGTAATATTTCACACCTTCAGGTGACCCAGGCCCAGGAGTACAGGAGAACAACAGAGTCAAGTTTATACAAATCAGACTTTGTATGTGCAAACAGGAGCACATGTATAATCTGTGAGTGTGTCCATACTATATATATAAAGTCTCCATTGGATGACCATGCGACTAATCAAAATTCTACAACTATTGATGGTGCATATGTTTGGATGATGTGGAGCAATTTTCAGCTAAATCGGCAAAACGGCCGAGGCTGGTTTTATGTTTGCGTGAGGTGTACATTTGCCATCAACACAGACTGGGGAGCAATTGATGTCGCCACGGCAACAGGGTAGAAAATAAGTCTTTGGTGTCATTGACTTTTTGAAGAGGTCAAAACAGAATTATGTGCAAAATTTCAAACATTTTGAAAAAACTAAATATGATTGTCCCCATGTAAAACGTTGACATAGTCTGTAGGGGGCGCTAATGGGCTATTTTAAATTATTTCACTTTTAAATGACCTAGACCAGGGGTCTCCAACCTTTTGTGCTCTGTGAGCTACTTTAATTTAAAAAATCAGGCGTGAGCTACTTATGCTCGTGTAACAGGTGTTAAAGGTTGGTTAAAATCCTGATAATAGGATCGGTGCAATTGTGTTAGTACGTACCTGGCAGTGTATGTTAGCTCATGTATGTCTTTTATTTTGGTCGTCTGGCCCAACACTTGTCACTTCCGGTTTGCCGGTATTTAAGTCAGGCTCCGCCTCTTCCTCCTTTCTCTTTCCCCTGATGTCTAAGAGAAAGGTAGCTGGTTTTAATATCTAGAGGCATCGTGTATTTAAAATTAACATCTATGTAATTTCATCTTGTCTTTTATGTTATTACGTTGTTTTAGTGTCATCCCTGTTATTATTTAGTACTTATGTGTTTTCTGTTTCCTCTGTTTTATGTTCTTAGGCCGTGTTGGGCACACACATGTTTGGGCTAACGCCATTTATTTTATATTCCTTCGCCAGGTATGTAATGTACATTTATGTTTGGCTCTCTTTCCCCTGATGTCTAAGAGAAAGGCCGTGTTGGGCACACACATGTTTGGGCTAACGCCATTTATTTTATATTCCTTCGCCAGGAAATAAAAGGGTTTCGGCGTTGCCAATCCCAATTGCAGCCAAGTCTCTTTTCTGGGTTCAGAGCACCGTACACAACGCAGGGTCGCTATAGCACAGGTCACATTGGTGCCGTGACATCCGTTTAGGACCGGACCAGACGACGTCGGGTCCACGGTGCATGCTACTCGGGTTCCAGGACATTCGCCTGTACCACCGTCGCCTCGCCGCTGGGAGTCGCCATCGCCACACGTGGGGCTGTCGGCGCTCGAACCAACGGGGCTGAAAATTGCATCACCTACGCCAGCGTCTACTTCACGCCGCGGGGATGGATCCGGAGGAGCTGCGCACGCCTGCCATGGTCGGCAGAGGGCGCGGGGGTTTGGTGTCCCCTCTCCCGTTTCCTTTGAGTGGTGTGGGTAGTAGTGTTGCCCGAGGCAGAGCTACGCCTCGTAATATGAACAATGTGTGTTTTGGTCTGCCTAAGTGCAGTACGGGACATGTGGTTGATGATGAAACTGTGGGGGGTATGAACCAGATGAGCGACATGATGCAACAGATGGGTCACATGTTAGCTGATAATATTGTGTCTAGGTTGAATTCATCCAGCTCTTCCGGCGAGTCTCCCAGGGCTCCTGATTCGTCTCCACAAGCCAATGGTTCCATGAACAGTCGTAGTTTGAACCTTTCAAATGTCACATTTATCGAAAAGGGTGCCAAAGAGCCCCCGGTGTTTAGAGGGGATGGTTCAGATGTGTTGGCCGTCGATGAATGGGAGGACTTGATGAAGGTTTATCTCCGCAAAAGTAATGTTCCCGTCGAGTGTAGTACGGAGGAAGTCCTTGTCTATTTAAAGGGCAAGGCTAGAAATGTCGTGAAATTAGGACTTAAAAATGGAGGTCTGGATTCCACACAAGGGCCCGAAGCTATTTACGGTCTTTTGCGTAAACATTTTGGCGCCGGCCTGTACTCCTCGGTCCCCCTCGCTGATTTCTACTCCATCCGTCCCACAGCTAACGAGGGTCCATATGATTTTTGGTTGCGGTTAAACAATGCTGCGGACACCGCCGCTAGCTGCCTTGCAGGGCTTGGGAAATCCTCCGATATTCCTGGGGGGGACGTCACCCGCTTATTCATAAGACACTGTCCGAACAAAGAACTTTCTTACACATTCCGGTCTAAGACTATCGATAAGTGGTCGGCTCGCGATGTCCAGGAGGTGCTGGACGAGTACCATTTAGAACATAGCTCCAAGGGAATCGGTGTAATGAACACAGTTACTGTGAATAAAAGTGATGTTGCCGCTGAGGTGCCCCCCGCTGCCAACGTAACCGACCATTCTATGTTTGAGAAACTCGCCGCCATGTTAGAAAAGGTTTTGTCACAAACTCAAGATGGCGCCCAGGTTGCTCGGAGACCGCGTCGAGACACACGGTATCCCAAGATGGACGGTTTGAACAGCATGCCGTGTGCGGTCTGCAAGGATGTGTCTCACACCGCGTACACGCATTGTATGAAGCATAAACTGTGTTTTCGATGCCACGCGCAGGGCCACTCCAGCCGCGAATGTCCCCGGGCCGTTAACACTTCTCCCTCCGGGCCTCAGGGAAACTAGCCAGTCTGCGTGTAGGGGAGGACAGCGCAGATAGGGATTCTCCACCTCCCACAATGGACAGTGCAGTACGGTTCGGGCCCGCCCGTGTAGGTTACGGTGACAAGGTGCCGTTGGGCAAGACACCAGTTGTACAAGTACTGCAGAGACTTTCAGAAACAGACTCGTTATTTCACACGGACGTTATCATGGACAACTGTTTTGTCCTCAAGGCCTTAGTGGACAGTGGGTCTATGGCGTGCACTATTAGCGAACAGACTGATTCAATGCTGCAGAGGGATTTTCCGGAGATTGACAGGAAGCGAGCGGACGAGTATGTCATCGTGGGCTGCGGAGGTCAACCGGTAATGCCTACAGCTATGTACGACCTCTCTGTTTTAGTGTACGGTGTCAAAGTCATTGTCCCAGTCCTAGTAGTTCCAGGCCAGTCCGACAGCATGATCCTGGGGAGCAACGTTTTGAAATGGCTCATGATGCAGATCGAAAATGGTGCAATAGACTCGAGTAAGATGGGCGCTTTTGGCAAAGAGCTACCCAAGCTGCTATCGCTCTTGTCCCATACAGTGCACCGTACTGACGCTTCGCCTTTGGATTTTGGGACTGCAAAGTTAAAAAGGTGTGTTACATTGCAGCCTTTGACTGAGCATTTAGTGTGGGCTAAGTTACCGTCTGTAGACGCTTCGGCGGTAGGGAGCTCTGTTATCGTAGAACCTACTCGATCTAAGACGAGACCAGCGCAGATCTTAGTGGGGAGAGTTGTCACCACTCTGTATGGGGATGGGTGGGTTCCCGTTAAAATTGTCAATCCCACGAAGAGAACACTTGTACTGAAAAAAAATGCCAAACTCGTGGACGTTTCGCCTAGTTTGTCAGTACAGGATCTACCGGAGCCACAACGTGTTCAGTCAAACACCCAGCGCACGATGGAGACTCCAGTTTTGAAAACTGAGGAAGAGATAAACAGGACACTCATGGACATGGGACTCCCGGAAGTTGACATCACGTCTTGTGAGGTGTCATTGGAGTGGAAGAACAAGCTACTCAATCTGATCGAGCGATACGACTCCACGTTCTCAAGGCACAAGATGGATTGTGGAGAAGCGAAAGACTTTGTACACAGAATCCGGTTGATGGATGACAAGCCGTTCAGACTTCCGTACAGGCGTGTCCCTCCTTGCCATTACGAAAAATTGAGGACAGCTTTGAACGAGATGGAGGAAGTCGGGATCATCAAGAAGTCACAGAGCGAGTATGCGTCTCCTCTCGTCCTCGTCGTGAAACCCAATGGTGATTTACGCATCTGTAATGACTTTCGGTGGCTTAATGCAAGAACTATTAAAGATGCACACCCCTTGCCCCACCAGACTGATGCGCTCGCTGCGCTTGGAGGCAATGTGTTCTTCTCCACCATGGATCTCACCTCGGGGTTTTACAACGTCCCGCTACACGAGGACGACAAGCGGTTCACCGCCTTCTCTTCCCCGTTCGGGCTGCACGAGTACAACAGAATGCCTCAAGGACTGACCAACAGCCCCGCAACGTTCATGCGCATGATGATGTCGATCTTCGGTGACAAAAACTTTACCAGTTTATTGTGTTATCTCGACGATTTGATGGTGTTTGCGCCGTCCGAACAGATTGCGCTAGAGCGGTTGGAGATGGTATTTTCGCGGTTAGCTGCTAATAACCTTAAGCTTTCCCCCAAGAAATGTCATTTCCTCCGGCGTTCTGTAAAGTTTTTGGGACACATCGTCTGCGAGGAGGGCATGAAAACCGATCCCAGTAAAGTCCAGGCCATTGGCGATATTAGGGAGGCGGACCTCATGGAGGCAGACGGTAAAACCCCCAGTGCCAAAAAGATTAGGTCCTTTTTAGGCATGGCCTTGTATTACCACCACTTTATCGAAGGCTGTTCGGCCAAGGCTAGGCCCCTGTTTAGTCTCGTGTCAGAACCTTCCACTCCTGAGAAAAAGGGTAGACCTCCCAGGCCTAAGTTCAAGAAAGGTTTAGTGAGATTGACCCCCACTGACTGGACTGACGACTGTAGGGAAGCGTTCGAGACCCTCAAACATGATTTGATACACAGTGTAACGTTGGCTCATCCAGATTTTGACGCTCCTTTTATCCTAGCTGTTGACGCTTCTTTCGACGGGATAGGCGCTGTTCTTTCGCAACTGTCACCTGGTAGTAAGATCGCCAGACCTGTGGCTTTTGCCAGTAAAACATTGTCTCAAGCACAGTTGAATTATCCCGCTCACCGTCTGGAGTTTTTAGCTCTTAAGTGGGCTGTATGCGACAAATTTGGCCATTGGTTAAAGGGAAGGACTTTTTCTGTTTGGACTGACAATAATCCACTGACTTATATTTTGACCAAGCCCAAACTTGACGCTTGCGAACAGAGGTGGGTGGCGAAGTTGGTGGCGTATAGCTTCGATCTTAACTATGTCCCGGGCCCTAAGAACGTAGTTGCTGACGCACTCAGTAGGGAGCCTTTTGTTAAGTCTTGCGTGGCTCACCGTCTCGTGTCTGAACCGTACTCTCACCTGCTCGCCCAAGTTAGTGAGTTAGCGGACCAGAGAGTCCAAGATGCGTTTAGGTGCACTAACAACTGCCAACGCGTAGACCAGTCTGGGGACTCTGCCAATTCGCTTTCCCCACAGCCTTCTCTGTCTTTCGACGAAGTCCAAGCGGTGTTAAGTGTCCATAGTGAAGACAATACCAGCCCGTTGCGTGTCACATGTGCTGAGGTCCCGCAGCTAGCGTGTATCACTGACAGTACTTCACTCCCGCTGAGCCAGCTTGTGTCCATGCAAGAACAGGACAACACTCTGAGTAGAGTCTTTTATTACGTACAAAGACGAAAAAGACCCTCAAATCGTGAGCGCGCACGCGAGCCAGGTGGGGTGAAGAATCTACTTAAACATTGGGCGAAGCTGTCTATTAGGGACGGATTGCTGTTCCGGTCAAAGAGAGACAATAAAATGAACGTGACGCTCCATCAGTTCGTTGTGCCGAGCGCTTTGAAACAACAAGTCCTCACTGGCCTCCACGACTCAGCGGGTCACCAGGGCCAAGCGCGGACGCTGTCTCTGGCCAGGCAGAGGTTTTTCTGGATGGGGATGGAAAAAGACGTCATCAATCACGTCAGGAAATGCTTCAGGTGCGTCGTGGGTAAAACCCTAGAGCCACATGGACGTGCGCCCTTGGAAAGTATCCAAACCTCGGAGCCGATGGAGTTGGTTTGCATCGATTTCTGGACGGCTGAACAAACGGACAAAAAATGCGTCGATGTTCTGGTTGTCACCGACCACTTTTCTAAAATGGCACATGCATTCCCCTGCAAGAACCAGTCAGCCAAACAAGTTGCCCGCCGACTGTGGACTGACTTTTTCTGCGTGTACGGCTTCCCAAAGTGCATACATTCGGACCAAGGTGCAAATTTCGAGAGTAGCTTGATGAAAGAACTTTTGACGCTGTCTGGGGTCCAAAAGTCGCACACGACGCCGTACCATCCTATGGGGAATGGCATCACAGAACGGTTCAACAGGACTCTGGGGAATATGAGCCGTGCCTTGCCCCCCCAGTCGAAAGCGAGGTGGCCCCAGATGTTGCAAATGCTTACCTTTTGCTACAATTGCACAGAACATGAGACCACGGGATTTGCGCCTTTCTACCTCATGTTTGGGAGGGTTCCCCGGTTGCCGGTCGATGTAGTTTTTCAGCACGTGCTGGAGGGTACCCCTGTTGTTGACCACCACGAGTTTATTGCGGCTTTGAGGCGTGACTTAGCTGAGGCATCGCGCATAGCCCTTCAGAACAGTAGGACAGCCCAGGCCCGTCAGACAGAAAACTACAATCGTAAAGTTAAAGGCACGCCCCTCGTCGTGGGAGATCAGGTTTTACTCGCGAACCGAGGAGAGAGAGGGAAGCGGAAAGTTGCGGACAAGTGGGTCTCAACGGTGTTTGACGTTGTTTCCGTGAGACCGGGCGTAAATGTCTATTCTATCAGAGACCCTGACACTCAGAAAGTCAAAACAGTACATAGAAATCTTTTACTCCCCGTCAGTTTTCTTTCATCCCACGTAGAAAGCACATGTGCGTCTAATTGCCCCTCATTAGTGAACGGAGAACCGGGAATTCCTGTTGAGGAACAGGACAGTGAGACTAGGACGATTAATTGGCTTCTGAACACTGAAAATGGTTCTTACCAGAATGTAGAAACGAGTCTAGTCGATGAGGAAACTGTGTCTGATCCGTTTGCTGAGTCTGACGGGGATTCCGTGGCGTCAGGTCCGTGCCAGAGCGCTTCTATCCGTGTAGAATCTAGTGGCGCGCTTTCTCAACTGTCACTGAGTGGTGGTGACCACGCCCTCCCAGAGGACCATTCAGAACTAGCTCCTGCGGATGCGATGACGTATGACGCTGCAGCTGACACGCAGCTGTTGCCTGTGCGTACTAGAGCGGGCCGATTGATTAACCCCCCTGCTCGTTTGATCTGCGAGATGAAGGAGCAGAGAGTAATGGAGAAGGATTCCTCACAGGTTGTGGGTCCTGTGTTTTCTTTTATGAGATTTTTTTTTCCAGACAGACTGCCCCGTTGGGCCCCGTTGTTTTTTTGTTAAATGTCTGTCGTGGTAGCTGTATATGAGTGAAAGGAGTGTAAATATAGGAACATTTTTAAGAGTATCGCTGCAGTACGAGGGGTGTAAACGGCACTCTTCATAACCCGCACGGGGTAGGGCTCTACTCTGTGCGATCCCTTGGGGTGGTCTTATACCGGTTTTGAGTTACTCTTGTGCGTTTTTTTTCCCTCCTTTCTGTTTTTTTTTTGGTTGCGCTCCCTATTATGCAGAATTTTAGGGGGGTGTATGTAACAGGTGTTAAAGGTTGGTTAAAATCCTGATAATAGGATCGGTGCAATTGTGTTAGTACGTACCTGGCAGTGTATGTTAGCTCATGTATGTCTTTTATTTTGGTCGTCTGGCCCAACACTTGTCACTTCC